TAAGTGCCCACAGGAAAGGCAACAGAATATTCCAGTTTTTCATTAACACACCTAGAGATAATCTTGGAAATTCCAATGTGAACCTATGAATCTATATCATTGACTGTGAACATTGTGGCAACAGACTTCTCAGAGAGCTGAGTTACAGAACAAGTTTCGTCTACTAAGGAAAGTTTGACATGTTTTCATAAAGTGCACATTCAATAAGCACAGAGTACTATTTGAAAATCTTCCCATTCCTAGTTACTTAAATGATCACAAACAGAATACTCACTGGTTGGACTCTTTTTATTCTGATAAATACAGAACAAAAAGTCATATATTAAATGAAGTTAATATTTTAATTACTCGTTCCATTACTACAAATTATTAGAGATATTGAAGCACTCTGGTAGCACAGTAGTTACGCATTGGACTGCTTACCCAGTTTGCAGTTTGAAACCACCGGCCATTGTGAAGGAAAGATGCGATTTTCTTCTCCCTAAAACAGTCAGTGTCAGAAACCCATTGGGCATTCTGCACTGTCGCAAAGGGTCACCATGGGTCAGAATCGAATTGATGGTAGTGGGTTTCAGAGTTCAATTTATTAGACTCATTGTATTATTAATTAAGGTACCAGTTTGATTTAGTTAATTAAAATACTGTTACTTAAAGCTTTATAACTCTTTTTAAAAAAAGCTTTCTCTTCAATTCAACTAGCTCATTCTCCCTGTCCTTCCTTATTGAAAGCAGCAGGGCTGCAGTGCCGCTCAAGGAGAGTGTGGAGTCAACAGGTTCTGTTTCACCCAGCATTGCTGCAAGTTCGCAGGTGAAGGGATCCTTTTCTGGAAGGCTGGCCTACAATTTCATCAGATGGATCACACTTCCAATTCCTTTTCCTTCCTGACACAGTTCGTATTGTGCTCTAACTCTCACTTGCAGTCTCCCAACAAAGACATAAGTGCATCCCAAAATGTCTCACCCCATTATTTTCATCACTTCTATGGGGAGTAGCATCACGGAAAAATGTCTTTCAATTACTGCTATTGATGCTGGTTTGAAAAAACATCATCTGGATCAAAGCCATCAACTGCTCAAGGGAAACAAAATAACAACCTTCCAATTGTACTGTGAATGTGTTTTCTGTTGCTTCTTGCCCCTTTTTATTATCACCAGACTAATTTCAGTGATCCTACTTAGTATACATTTTTTTTAAACAAAATGTGTCTGATGTCACTTCATAATGACTGATTTTTTTCCTGTTGTTAAACAAGATTTATGATAGCCATGGACAATAACAGAGTTTGAGCTATAATTTGCAGTTTGTCACTTTCTCTTTGCTTTAAGAAATGTGTGTGTTGTGCGTTACTCCCTTCAAATCTGAACTTCTCGCCTTCTGACTTTGGTCAACAGGACTTCTCGGCAGACGAAGTGTTTGGGAGCTGATTTCCGTAACAGAAAGCTGTCAGGGGAGGCTTGTGTTTGGCAACGATGCTGAGCAAGTTTCGGTGGAGCATCCAAAAAACCTGGTGATTAGCTTCTTAAAATCAATCAGTGGAAACCACACGGATTATAACTCTCAATCCAATGCATCCTGAGAATGGAATCAGACCATAAGAATACAGTGGGACCATACAGTGTTTTGTCCTCTTTTGCAGGAAGTCACCAATGCAGAGGCATCTCACAACAACAAGTTCGCCCATCCTCCCCATGGCATTGTACTGCTTTTTAATCTCGGCCTTTCCATGTGCAATGCCCAAATGAGTCATCATCTTCACTGCATGCATCACGATCCATATTTTTAATCCCTTATCCTATCCCATGAATTTCTTAAACTTCTCATTAATTAATTGATAAAGATGTCAATAAAACTTAAAATACCTCTATTCCTTGATGTATTTGATAAGGAAGTAAAGCCATCATTTTTCATAATTCATTATAAGTATTGCAAAAATCTGAAACATTTAGCCCACTAATCAGATCATGCAGTGAGAAAAATAGCAGGTCGTTTGGAATTGGATCAGAAAAATCCTTGTGTATTCCCTGATATATTATGATTCTCAGCCCATAGACTTTCAACCTAGGCTATATAACCTACCAGAATATGTAGTCTTTTATATGAAACCCTTACAGTGGATGTAACTTGGAGTTTCTAGCCATGTGACAGGACTTCCAGGTCTTTATTTGTTTGTTTGTCCTCTCCCTCCTTCCCATAATGGAATGGAAGTCCTCTGCTTTGACCCACTGGCCTCCCTGGCTTAGCTCTTCCTTCCTCTCACTACAAACTCATATTTACAGGTGATTCTGGAATGTCCAGAGTCTTTGCACACTCCAAATGGCAGTTTAACAAGACCCTTTCTTGAGATTTGACTCCTGATAAACTCAACAAATGGATCACTGGATGCACATATGAAATGTTTTTTAATAGGAGAAGATAGTGTAAAGATATGTCATGTATTTCTGAAACGAACCTGATGGTACTATAGGTAATGCAGTAAAGTATTATTTTTCAGTTGTAAAGTGTCCTTTATACTAAATACATGGTCTCTATGAATTACACACTAAACGTCTACAACTGTTCCCATCAAGTATAAACTTTACATAGCAAACAAAGTCACAATGGAAAAACTGAAGGCTCTGTGGTATAAAATGTCTTCAGGATGATGTTAGTTTCTCAGTTAAACTTTAGCATTTGTTAGTTAATGATTGCTGCTAATGATGGATGAAATTAATGAAGTGGACTTGATTACTTCAGTGAGAAAACGTAGCTGCCTTTATGTCTCATGTTCTAAAAAACGGGGGATGGGGGGAAGTCTTTATCAATATAGTCAATACATTATTTTCTCTGTAACAATGTCTACATGAAGTTTACAGATATCCTTAAAATGATACTTTATTCAGTTCAGGGTCTAAATTTGTAGTTGAGTATAGGCAAACATTACAAAAAAGTTTGTTTCTATTTGGGCAGTGAAATAGGTCAAGAACAGCGTTATGGTATGAACGCATGGAGAACCAAACCAAGCTCAACCACTGCCATTGGGTCGGTTCTGACCCACAGCGACCCTCTGAGTCATAGTCATGGGATTTCAAAGGCTGCAAATCTGTATGAGAGCAGATAGCCTCATCTTTCTCTTGATCAGCAGTTGTTGGGTTTAAACTGCCAACCTTGTGGCTAGTAGTCCAACGCATTACCTGTCAAAGCCACTGGGCTCCTTCTGAAGTCATGGAGAGGGCAGCTGAAGTCATTTAAGGTCTTTAACTGGTTTTGCTCTTGTGCCATCAAGTTCATTCCAGCTCAGCGACTTACAGGGCAGAGTAGAACTGCCTCATAAAACTGCTGAGACTACACATCTTTATGGGAGTAGATGGCCCCATTTGTTGCCCATAGAACAGCTAGTGGGTTAGAACTACTGACCTTTAAATTAGCAGCTGACAGCTTAACCACTGCACCACCAGAGTTCTTAGCTACTTATCTACACTTCACTTCATCTTCACCTCAAGTGTCTTATCTGCAAAACTGGAAGAATACGTATTTAATCTACCACCACATAAATTATCACAAAGACTTGAGCCCATACTATGCATTCAAAAAAGGTTAAAGGTTATCATCACTATTAGAAATAACACAAACCAGCATCACTTCTGCTAACTGATTTTTTAACTCTCAAGTTTGACTTGATGGCCATTTAAGTAGTAGAGCTAGAAAGATACATCGGTCTGTGTATGAATAGAGACATTTCCTCCTCCTTGCTGAGTTCAAAATGCAGGGTGAGAGTAAATGCTGACACCCTTCAGATCCTAACAGCCTCTGAGTTTACTTAGGAGTCAACTAAGAAAAAATTACAAATTGGCTTCTCTTAATAATTGCTAGCTTATGGGAAAAGGGTGGGACCCAAACTCATGCTGACTGAGTAGTAACAGAAGGTGAGTCTGTGATGATAAATCTACTTACAACAATTAGCATGGTACATGACAAAGAGTAGCACTTACTGGGTAGCACTGCTTTGCACGTAAGAGAGCTTCTAAGGTTCATGGGAAAATTCCATGATCTTTTCATTCATTTTCCATGAACTTTCTGAAACCCTTTCATATTGAACAAGAGATAAATTGAGCACATTTCTTCCCACAAAGGATCCTGAGGTCTAAAGTCCTTTCAATTTTTATCTGACTGTCATGTTTAAAAGTACTAATCAGATATATCTTCAAAGATATATCTTTATCACAATCACTTGTATGTTTCTGTAGCATAGAGGTTGATGCACGTTGAAATGGAAGAACCAATCCTACCCCTCACAACAATTTTTTAAAATTGTTTTTTACAAAAAAAATGAAATCACCATTGTCTGAAGAATAACCTTTAAAATTGTATAAATGAGACTATAATTGCATTTTCAATTTTACTTCAGAGCCACATGTATGTACCGACAGAGTGGCCTATGGCCCCAGAGCTGCAGTTCGCAACTCATCCTCTACCTGCCCCACCAGTCAAGTGGTTCTCTTAGACTTTAGCCATTTGCCTTCAAGGTGATTCCACCCCCCAGTGACCCTGTGTGTGACAGAGGAGAACTGTGCCCCACGGGGTTTCCACTGGCTTTCTAGAATGTTCCACTCAGAAATAGATCATCAGGCATCTTCAGATACCTTGAAGCGAACTTAAACCTCTGACCTCTTGATTAACAGCTGGGCATATTAACTGTACCACACAATGAGTCCTTTCACTGCATTAACAGAGCCTTGTAGAAAAAGGATTTGCTATAGACTTGCCAGGACCCAATACACAATGAAAATGCGGGGTTCCACATTCAAAGTGCATGGAAAAAAAACCCTCAAGAATGTGACAGTACAACATTAAAGCCACACGTGGGGCCCTATGAGTGTGGGCCAATGTGCTGCACACTGCATGTGTGCACACGAATGAAGCCAGTCCTGCCTGTAATGTCTTCTCTTTCAGATGCTAGTCTCAAAGAGTCGGTGGGTGGGTCCACACGTGTAGAGGGACTGAGCATGAATGTGACACTCACCACTGTGACCGCATCGTTCAGCAGCGACTCTCCAAAGACCAGGATGTAGAGTTGCTCATTCACGTGAATGTTCTCGAAGACAGCAAGCACAGCTACGGGGTCTACGGCTGAGATTAAGCTGCCAAAGAGCAGATTCTGGAGCAAAGTGATGTCACTCAGGCCAAATGCTTCAATCTGGCAGATAGCGAACAAAGATACTCCGATGCCAATGGAATTCCAAAGTGTCCCTACCACAGCGTACCAGAAAATGGTGCCAATGTTCTCAAAGAAAGGACGAGTTGGCATGAAATAGCCCGCGTCAAGCACAATCGGTGGGAGAAGATATAAGAAAAAGACATCCGTCTTCATGGCCGGTGGCGACTTTTCATCGACTCCAAAAATAATGCCACCTAGCAGAAGTCCAACCATTATCAGGAGGCAGCTTTCAGGCACTATGGTAGGCAGCTTGTGGTAGAGATGGAAGCCTGTTAAGGAATATACACAAAAATACACGTGAAATTTGAGTTATGACATAACAGATGACCATGATTTCCCAACCTCCCAGCTTAGCAAATTTAGCTACTGACTGAATATATAATTATTTAAAGGTTAATTAATTCCCCTAAAATCATTCATAAAGCACATTAACATAAAAATTAAAATGTAAACCAGAAATAGAATGTTGCACACAATATCTAGGTAGTAAACATTTTCTTTCTACTTGAGCCCTTGGTATCAACTCCTCCCTCCCTCATGAGCCCTTGATAATTTATAAATTCTTATTATTTTTTCATGTTTTACACTGACAGATGTTTACCTCTACCCACTTTTCTGTTGTCCATTCCCCAGGGAGGGGGTTATATGTAGATCATTGTGATGGGCTCCTCCTTCCTCCCCCTACCTTACCCTTACCCTCCTGGTACGGTACTCTCATTATTGGTCCTGAGGGCTTTATCTGTCCTGCATTCCCTCTGTTTTTAGCTCTTATCTGTACCCCTGTACATGCTCTGGTCTAGCTGGATTTGTAAGGTAGAATTGGGAGCACGATAGTGGGAGGGAAGCAGCATTAAAGAATGAGAGGAAAGTTGTTTGTTTCAACAGTGCTACACTGCACCCTGAGTGGCTCTTCTCTTCTTTGTGACCCTTCTGTAAGGGGATGTCCAATTGTCTACAGATGGGCTTTGGGTCTTCACTCTGCACTCCCGCTCATTCACATCGATATGATTGTTTTGGGTCTTCTGATGCTTGATACCTGATTCTGTCAATACCTGATGATCACACAGGCTGGTGTGTTTCTTCCATGTGGACTTTGTTGCTTCTCAGCTAGATGGCCACTTGTTTATCTTCAAGTCTTTAAGACCCCAGATGCTATATCTTTTGACAGCCAGGTACCATCAGTTTTCTTCACCACATTTTCTATGCACCCATTTTGTCTTCAGCGATCATGTCGGGAAGGTGAGCATCATGGAATGTCAGGTTATTAGAACAAAGTGTTCTTGCATTGAGGGAGTACTTGAGTAGAAGCCCAAGGTCCTTCTACTACCTTGATATTTAATATATAAATATATGTACATAGATCTATTTCCCTAACATTATATATAAATATATTTACGTGTCCATATTTAGACCTCTGTAAATTCCCTTTGCCTCCTAAATCTTTCCTCTATTATGAAAGGAGTCTCTAAGTAGTACAACCCACTCAACTCCTCACTGAGAGGTGATTGATCCAAACCCACACAGAGGCACCTTGAGTTAGAAGCCCAATTGAAAAAAATACCTGGTTCATTTTTTTTTTAAATCTACCATTGAAAGCCCTATGGAGTAAAAATGTAGATTGAAATCCACATCTTTGTAACCTTGTTTCATACTGACTCTATCCTTCATTATGGCAACTTCCATGGTGGGATAAAGGATATAACCAAAACTGAAAACTCACTGCCATTGAGTTCATGCCAATTCACAGCAACCCTATAGGACAGGGTAGAACTGTCCCTGTGGGTTTCCAAGACTATAACTCTTTACAGAAGTAGAGAGCCTCCTGTGGAGCAGTTGATGATTTTGAACTGCTGTCCTTGAAGTTAGCACCCCAACACATACCCGCAACGTACCAGTAACAGCACTCCCCAAATCCCTAGCTCCAAAAGCAATAGTCTGCATTCTGAAATAAAGGCCCAACCCAAAGACTTCATGGCAAAGAGTTTTAAGCAGCTCTCCCCTAACAACGGTACCCCTGGCTTCAGATTCTCGTTCTACACGTCTGTGTGTTATGGATTGAATTATGTCCCACAAAATTGTAGCATTGTAAATGCTAGCCCTTATACTTATTAATGTAATCAAATTTGGGGTCCTGTTTTCTTTGTTATGTAAATGGGGCCATCCATAGTAGTGTTAAACAAAAAACTCTCTCCCATTCGGTTCATGCTGACTCAAGGGACTCTGGAGGAAAGGGTAGAACTGTCCCTGTGAGTTTCCAAGACAATAAGGGTTTTGGGGGGGAGGTGGGTGCGGGGGAGGGTGGAGACAGACATCTTTATTATATTGAGTCACGCAATCCACAAACATGGTATTCTATTTATTTAGACAGTCTCTAATGTTCACCAATGATATTTGCATTGCTTTTGGTATAGATATAGTTTATTTCTTTCAATACATTTATTCTGAGTTTTTGATGTTTTCAATGCTAATGTAAGTGGCAATGTTTCTTTAATTAATTTTTGAATTCTTTATTGCAAACACAATAGAAAAATAATACATCTTTAAGATATTTATTGTTAAAGCCAAACTTGCTAAATTCCTTTGTCTATTCACATATTTTTCTATAGATTCTATTGAATTTTTCTTTTAGATTTCCTACATTTTTGCTTCCCAATTCTATATCCTTTTTCCTTCAGTTAAATAGTTAGCAACATAACTTTGGTTATTTTACTTAGTGCATCTAATATAGACGTGATGACAGTAAATATCCTGGTGTCGTTTCTTTTTCCTTTTTCTTTTTTTTGACAGGAATAGCATCGCATCTTTCTCCTGCAGAGTTTCTGGTGGTGTCAAACCACTGACCAGTGATTATCAGTGCAATTCTTAAGCACTATGCCAGCGGCCAAACACTTTGGAGCCATCAAAAGATCAGATTAGGCGCATAAGTAAGGAAAGACAAAAGAGGAAAGATTGATATCACTTAGAGCTCATCAAGGAAGTAAGGAACAGAAGCTGAAATCAAGAAAGTCCCCTGGAGAGCCTTCTGGAATTGGTACACCTAATTTGGACTTCTAGCCTCCTAAAATGTGAGAAGATAAACTTTTGTTTATTAAAGCCACCCATTTGTGGTACTTCACATATACATGCACTAAGAAACTCAGATGCCGTGGATGAGTTACTTAATTGTGCCAGTCCACATCTGCTCATTGGTAAACCAGGGACAAATGTACCCACAACATAAAGCATTGAAATGCTAACTGCATTGACGGCACACAAACTTTACTACAGCATCACAAATAATTCCCAATTTTAGTTTCGTTTGCCTCATCCTCATCAAAAAGTGAAGGAAAAAATAGTTATAAAGAAACACACAGATAACTAAAGGATGAGGCTTTCTAACTCCTGAAGAAGCCCA